CAGCAGGTTTTATTAAAATCTTATAAAATAAATGCGGAACTGGAAATTTTTGATTCCACATCGGAATTGTGAATTGGAATTGTGTAAAAAACGCACTGCCGTACAATTTCTGCAGGCTTATTCATGGTTAAGGGAATTCTATTACGTGAGTTATCTTGGATCAACCGTTGAGCTCACTCAATTTTTTTTCTCGAAAAGTTACGTGGTTCCATGTTTTTAAAAAGGGAACCACAGTCCATCTTGACACCTGTTCCGCAGTCTTGCCGATTCCATAGCAATTTCTGTATAGTTTGATGCACCAGCCGCAGCAGCAAACAAGCAATGAAAGAGTTCCTTCGGTTTTCTTAGAAGGAACTTTTCCAGCTGACTTTTGAAGGCAATTGCAACTGCACTTTTAGGAATTTTAAGGTCTTTAAAGAATGAGAGACAAAACTTGCTAAAAAGATCTGACCTGTCAATCGGAAGTCTGTATACAATCGCGAACCACGTATACGTCCGCATGTTTTGCGGAATTCATACAAATTCAACAAGCAAAAAAAAATTAGAAAAACTCGAGGTATACAATGAGTAAAATTATTGTCATGAACTTTAAAATTGTTGCAATGTCAAACAGGTTGCCTATTGCCCCTCCTCAATCTATATTATCAGAGGAAACACTGAAAGCATCGAAATACCTCAAAAGTTCAGCTTTTACTTCATACTACGTACTCGCGAACAAATGTCGAGGTAAATTCCTTAAAATAAATCCAAAAAGTGTTAGAGGAACCTGAAGTTGTTCAACGGCTCAAAGAGTAAACTTAAAACAACTCTCACGAAGAGAGATAAGAGCAAAGTTTTGGAAAGATTTTTACTACACCAGTTGTCAAAACTGTTGGAAGATACCTCGAAGCATTGGATGACAAATATTCCACCCACTTAACTCGCAAAGAAGTAATATAGTAAGCATAAGAACAATCGAGACAAACTCTATTATTCTGATCTTTTCGACATTATGGTTGAGGAAATATGCTCAAAAATAGTAATTTAGAAAGAAAGGCTCGATCAGACAAGAGCTTACAATTAGTTAAGTAGATTGTGAAACACAAGAAATTACCTCTGGTTCCACACGAATAACTCTTCTTCTGCTGAAACGACCCCACCAAGTAGTCGTTTTCTAATAGTGGTAAGAATCCTATCAATACTGAAGTCATCGGTCTGCTACAAACATAAATTGTCATAACACAAATAATAAGAAAGGGAAGATAACAAAGAAACCTCATAAAGGTGACATCGGACTTACTATCTTCTGAGGCTCTTCAATCGAGCGAATGAATCGCACGAAAGGCGCAAACTGGCTAGTATCTGGCATCCTCACATGTTGCGAACGGTAACGAGCCAGCTCGATGACCAGACGACAACTCGAACCTGATTTTCAGGTAATATGCGCCTATTGCTTTGACTATAACAAACCAAATCTAAAAAGAAAACCAAGAACAAAGAAAAGGGAAGAAAATGAAAAAGCCGACAGGAAATTTTCATGATTGCAGGGTCATGAACATGAAGATTGAAAAGGTCGGAATCCGATGGCCTCCGATACATAATACGTAAACAGCTCTTCCAACTCTTACGAAGCAATCAGTAATGAAGAAATAGAGGTGCCTATACTCACATGAACAAGCTCATGTATCGAATGCAGAACTTTCCCAGAAGACGATTCTTTGATTTTTATAGGATGTAGTTTTTATAGGATGGACCTCGTCTTCTGAGTGAGTAATATTATACATCCATGAGCGCCCACAACTACTTTTTACAAAGAATGGTGATAAAAAGGCATGTTAATGTCTTGATGGCATCATCTATCATCGAAAAAATTCTACCTATTCAAATTGCGTTCCTACACCCCTACACAGCTCTACTCAAACAAACTTCAGTACAAAGACGAGGCCCGAAGATCGCAAGTATCAATTGAACTGATAGAAAGATATCGCCTAGCTTAAACGCATTGAACGAACCTTGTTTCTTATCGTTACCTCCAATTCGACCATGAGGCGGATACTGCGGCTCACCGCCCCATAAATTTAATGTCACCACGCCTTGTAATAGTTCACCTCTCCAGTCGAATAAGCGAATGTTCACCCAACCAAGAACACGATCTTCTGCCTAAAGTAGTTTTTTAGAAACCTCAGTGCTTGATCTGTTTGAATATGACATCCTGAAAGGGAACAACTCCAATGGACAAAGCATGAAATAAGGCTTTATCGAGAGATCAAGGATGAAGTCTTTGGAATTGGTCAATACCGCCTTTGCGATGCGCTGCCGCATTCGACTACTAGTCAGAATCGTAGGGGCGTAGTGGCATATGGGGATCATACGATGAACTGCGCTGGGTGGCCAATGTAAGAGTCAGTGATTTCATCCCTTCAGACGAGAACCGAACCTAGAGGGACGGCTTGTTGGTCTAGGCAGATATCCACCCTAAATCTGATCTCTGGATCATGCGTTTGTGATAGTGCGCCACATGCCACTACATCACCTCCGTCCCTGAGGCAACATTACTGTTATTTATTCTGCAATCATGGGATAAGGAATTCAACGGGAGACACATAAATCCCCCGTCTCAGGCTGAAACTACTTCACAGTGTTACAAATCGTACCTTCCCTTTCCTCATCTTCGTTTCCACCAAGTGAACTGTAAGCACGGCAGCCGGTGGTAGATCCTTCATGTACAAGTCAAATGAAATCATACCCTTAAAAGTATTCTCAAAGGAAAAAGAAATAGTCAAACAAAACAACAAAAGTTCACTCGCACTGACTTCCAACCAGCGAGGATTGTGACTCGGGACCTTAGAAGAGGCTTTATGGATCAAAGACGTCTTCCCGCAATACACTATGAAATCGACGCTGATCTAAACGTCGTGCAAGCAATTTATCGACGGATAACGAATCAGAAGTAACATGAAATGAAGTACATCAAGGATATTGGGGTTATACCAACTTGCGAATCCATATCGGAAGTCCCCATACTGCTGCAACTCAACGGACGCATCGACAGATACTCGTCCACATCCCAAAGAGTAATGTGACTTTCTGTTGGTTCGCTTCCTCCTCCAGCGGCGTTTCCAATTCCACAAGAGCTCGTAGCGCTGTCTTCACTTGCCATTCGGCTCTCTTCAGCACGCACATAACTAGGCTGCAAGGTAATAAACATCGATGACTTCACTCAATACTGAAAATATCTCGCCCGTAGATTGAAATTCATGATTACGAGCCTTAGGTTTCCATTACTCAGTTTGCAAGCTAAGTACAGTACTCCTCCTGTTGGCGTATCATTGTATTACACAAATTCCGCAGAACCATTTATTTTGGCTTACATATTTTTTATTAGAAGTTTCGTAAAAGTATTTCAAAAATAACATACGAAAGGGCTCCTGGTACCTATCACGCGAGAAAAGTTCTACTACTGTCACTTCCAAATCACCTCCTGATCTCAAGTCTTTGTAAACCCATAAATACCGATGCACGGCGAGTCGCCACTCTTGGAAAAAACTTATTGTTAGATTGGAATGCAGTAATCGGCAGAAGGCGGTGTAAGTTATTTTCTTTACTATTCATCACATCGTGAGGAAAGGCGCAAAAGTGAGCAACGCATGTCCCATAGCTAATGCTGATCGCAACACCGTATTGATCGCTAATAAATATTAACCAAAGGCGTAAGGAGATAAGATAACAAATCATCTCAGCAAGTAAGAAATGTAGAAATGCTATCGATGACGAAAAGGGTGGTACGAGGTTCAGAAATGGTTTAAATTGATCTAAACCCATCCGAGACCGACACTGCCAAAACTGCCGAGGCAGAGCCAAAATCTATCCATGGCAGAAAAATGGAACCAAATTTACTTTTTGCGCAGCGCTGAAGACTTATAGCTAGCATGGCTACTCGTCAGTTCTGATATGCAAACAAAAAATTATGCTGTGGTAACAGATATAGTGACCACTCTATGAATGCAGAGCTGCCAGCCGCCTGCCAACCTGTGAACAGGGGTGGCGGTACTTCTCCCCAGATACCCACAGCAAGCGACAGTACTTCTGCGGTGACTACCGTCTCCTTCCCTTCGAATTCAAACCTACCCTTCATAGCGCACGACTGGGAGCGGCGATCTCGACACAATTTTCGAGGAGAAAAACCTACACCCTCTGACCAGCATTAGTTGCAGCGCAATTTCTATGCTACATTACTATACTAACTTGATTATTAAGGACCTTTCGGGGACTTTGCATAGGTTTTGCTCACTTCGCCGGTCCAATATCTCTGACTCTATCATAATGGAAAGTGTGGCACACCCAAAAACCCGATTCGACTGTCTTACCTTTTCTCCAAACTTGTTGAAATGCTATGCTATAAATTATCGAACATACCTTGTGAATTGGTCTCGGTTTCGGATAATCCAGTAAAACAATCGCTTTACGCCGCAAAACAAAACGAGGGTTGCGATAGTTCTCAAACGCAGAACGTACTTCCTAAAGAAAACCACAAAATTGAGGGGTTATTGAGCTTGTGAAACGAGCAGCTAAAAACAAAATAATTAAAACGAACTCCATATGTTATCAATAATTTATCGTTTGCTGTCAAATAACTCTTCTGGCCAACAAGTTGCAACAAATAATCAGTATCCACTTCTTCCGCCTAAACAAATATTATAGTACAATAAACATTTTTGTGACACTAGTACATAGCGATTAGGGACTGGAGAAATAGCAGCTGCTAACAATATCGAGGCAATTAATACAATTAACAATTATTTGTCCATTAAGCGTGTAGCCAACAGCCAACGCTGTTACTGGCCGAACCCCGAAATCCCACCGTTACAAACAGCAGATCCGTGAATATGCATCCCATGAAAGACTTAAGTTCAAATAAACCGCACCTTAATGTGGCCGGATCGCTTGAGATCCCGTACCACTTTGGCAACCAGAGACGTTGGCGTCATGTCAGGGACGAAATTCACAAGTGCTTTTGCAGCACCATGATCAATGTTCTCTTTTTCATCCTCCAAAGACCGGAAAAACACCTGGTAACTCAAGTTCGCCGCTGAAAGGTTATTACATTTGTGCTCGAAAACAGTATGTAAAAAAAGATGTAATGGGACGAAAAAAATTTTAGGAGTACATGAAATGAAAGAAGAGAAAGAAAAGAGAAGAAAAGAAAAAAGAAAAGATCTCACTAAATATCAGATAAAATATTCATGAACTGAAAGAAATGAAGTAAAGCGGAGAACGAACATTTGATTTTAGCAATCAACGAGTGAGGACACGGTTGGGCCACATCCAGCACTACTGCTTCAGGAAAAGCATAGTGCTCATAACCTTCGCTACCTGAACGATATCATTACATAAATAAGGAAATAGCTTGTAGAAACACATAAGGCAAAATTTCAATAAAAACCTCGGCTGTTTACGGCCTCGACGGTGTCCTTAAATAGCGCTGCACGGCAAGTTTTCAGCTCATCCGAAAGTTTTGTTTCGAGTTCGTCCAAAGAATACCCAAGCGCTTGACCTGAAATACTTGGAAGTAATAAGAGTAACACGTAGATCTCGTCGTGAAACAGATATCTACTTGAAATGGTTATCAGTTTGTTAGAAAAGTATCTACCGGAAGTTTTGCATCAGTCTCGATATTTTCTGGGATGCCCTGGAAGTTCCCATGGAACATTAAGGGCTCTATTGACTGTATGCGAAGAACTTCTCATGCTCGCTTTTTCTCGAATATAACAAACGCATCTAGGTGAGTTAGACCCTCTAATAATGTTTCTAAGATGTTTTTCAAAACACAAAGTTCTACGAAAAATTCAGGACCTTCGCGAAATCTTTGACAGAGTTTTCGAACAACCTACTAATATGAAGGAGCATGTATAGAGCTGATCATTTCACATTAATTCGCTAAGTATCTCCCATGAAAACTCCATGCATACAGCACTACGATTTGCACATTCACTCGTCAAGAAGATACGAAATAACCGACCTATGACATGTGCCAAATCTCTTTCATGGCGAAAGCTTTCTGGTTCGAAAAGCGATAACATCGGGTACGGTCTCGTAAAGTCGATCTTGGACAACAGCATCTAAACACAGGGCAGTGGAACTCACTCCAAGCTTAATAAAAAATGACAGTTGCGAGTAAACGTGGATTCATAGATTTATAATGCATTTAGACAGATTGACTATCATTCGATATGTGTAGGTGAAAAGATGTTGCGGAAGAGGGATGCTGAGAGATGCTCGTGGAGATAAAGAGCGTAATTTAGGGATAACGCTCGAATTTTTCATAAAAGGCTGTGAAAAAAAAAACTACCAAATAAAAAGGTTGGTAAAGAAGAAGACGAATGAAAAGAACAAAGATGGAATTGAACGATGCAGATTTCTTACCTCCTCATTGTATAGCTCTTCCATATCACCCGTTGACTTCCTCAATACTTGGAAGACGTAATCAGTTGCATTCATAGAAAATTGCGCCACAGACATTCTGAAAAATTCAAATCTAAAGAATATCTACTAATGTCGAACAGTAGCTATACCTTTTCAGTTTAGCGAAGAGCTCTGTTTTCAACCCATTCAGACTGAATTCGAAGCCACAACAAACTGTCACCTGCATCCATGGCAATAAAACCTAAAGAACCACTGAATATAGAGAAAGAATACTTGAACGAGCAACATAGGAAGCTCACTGTAAGAAGTTGTCTTTCTCCTAGACCCCCTAACTCTATGCAGCTCACAGCATCAGAGGACGACGAACAAAGAATCGACGGGTTCGTGTAATCAATTTCAAATGTCGCTCTGAAAGCATGCATTTCGTACTTCATTTCACGATATCACTTGTTTTTCAGCAAAAGAGCCATTGTCTTTTATGGCGCCCACAGCAACACAGCAATAATGGGAAGGAGGTGAAAATACCATAGGAAGCAATAAAACAAAGTTATGCGGGAAATCTAGCCCTGGAAACTAGGCAAATGGAAAACAGTTTGGAGCTGCAACACCCTTCAGCGCAACTTTCTGACGAGATCCTTAGACCCCAACTCAAATTGTGCATCAGCTTCCTATACAAGAAGAACGACATGCCTTTTCCGTTGTTCCCACTCTTGATGAAGACCATGGAGCGTACGATGCACGGTCTCAATTCGACTCATTCGAACATCAGATCCTTGGCGTTTCGGCTTCTTACGTGATTCTGCTCCCATAAAATCAGAGCTGCTAGATCCCGATGGACCTGGGAGGTCATCGCCGGCAGAGCTTGCGGCCACAGCAGCACCGCTCATAACCGACTATATTACACAACAAACCATGCCGAATGCCTTTCAGTAGCAAAAAGAAAAGAGACATTTTTGTATATTTTCCTTTTTTGATATTACGTGAAAGTAGATATTACGAGTTACGTGTTTGAAACATCATTAACCATTGTAAAAACCAGAATGCATATCTTTTATTCGCCGTCAAATAATCTCAAGGAAAAACAATACTAGTGAATTTGTTGTAAGTCTCAATATAGCACCGGTACTTTTCTTAAGGAAACAGCAGAGATCCATTCTGGACAACTCCGATGTGAAAAAAACACGTGAATTCGAAGAATGTGCGATCACTTGAGCAGTTGCCAAGGTTTTCATAGCAGTTAGCGTTGCTGCGCTCCAGAAGGTCGCGGCAACTGCGTGGTCGACGACATCGTCGATGCCGATCTGCCCATATTGATTTTCAAGCCCTCGCCTACCATCGTAGCACGCACTAGACGAGCGGTCTCCTCCTTGTTGAAAGTCGGCTTAACAAATTGCAATAATATGAAACAGAACTGTAACAGCATGTGAACAGGGAAATCATTAATTTGGTAAAGTGGACATGCTCGAAACGGCCACGTTAACAATCAAATAACTGATCAGAGACTAATTTCTCTGATTCATGACTGATTTTCAGAACAGCCTACTTAATGGAAGCAGTGAGTGTATTGTTAATGGCGACCAATTCCGGCGCTCCAGAAGGAAGGAAGAACTCACGAGGGCATCGAACATTGAAAATTAGGAAATCTATTCCCACTCCCACTCTTGCCCATGAAAGAAGGTGTTGCTCTTAACAAGGGCAGAAAGCCCGATCGAAACACAGTCGACATTAAAATTGCAAGGATGGCTTTGAAATGACGGCGCTCATAAACTACTGTGCTTGGCACCAACCTGCCATGAGAAAACGGCGAGGCAGTTGTTTTGTGGCTAAGTGAAAGATACTGAACTACAACTCTCTAGCGCTTGAACCCTTCACATGAACCTTTTTCAAATGTGAAAACAGAAATATTTCGAGAACGCTAGACAGGCCCACTAGGTGAGTTTAACCGTGAAAGTAGTGCTGAGTGGGAGCTCCAAAACTACTTTTCTACATATCTCAATGACCTCCTGATTACCTAAGTTATACATATTAAGACATACAATGATGATGATAATGGTGAAATCGAGATTAACATTCGTGGCACGGCGCGAATGGCATGGTGAAGCAGGAAGAAAAAATTGAAAAAAAAANAAAAAAAAACATTAAAAAATCGAATGAAAAGGAAAATTAGATTAATAAAACTCACCTTTTCTGCCAAGCTTTCATTATGAGCGCGATCCGATGAATGTAGGCTTTGCAGTAGAAGATCAACGTACTTGTTAAGATGAGTGATTTGTTTACTTATAACGTCCTGCCCTGAATTTAAAGGTAATGAAAAAGCAATGATGAATTTCATTCAACAACGCTATAAATGCAAGGATTTCATTATCTCATTATTCCGTTCTATAGTTGATGAGATGAATGGAAAGTGGCATTTGTGGACAACCCCAACTACTTGCTCATGCTCCAAACAGGATGTTTTATGAGCTTCAAATTCTATGAAGGCTAAGAAGCGAAAAAGATGTGTGTCGAAAATAAGGTTCTCGTTTTAACAAGTTAGCATACACAAGAAAAAATTTGAAAATATCAGAAACATGCTGTCTTTGAGAGTAGAAAAGCGTTGCGTAAATAACAGCAACTACACTGCGTCGTTAATGCCACCTCTTAACCACTGGGCTGGGTAGCATTCACATACAAGGATCAAAGCAACAATTAAGAGATGATATAATCAGAAACAGTTGATGAACCTTTCTGATTTCTGTCTTGCTCTAACATCATTTCCTCCGATTCCATTTCTGGATTCAGTTTTGTACGCAAATAATCAGGCACCACATCATGATTCCACGAATGTATGCGATACGATGTCAGCGTCTAAAATCGATCGTGCTCTCAAACGAGGTACCCTATGACTTCAAATCACCGTCGTGAATGTTAAAGCTACTTTTTAGAACTGGTGCTAATATCAATTCCAAGGAAAAAGAAGAACGACTGTATCATGAAAGAAACGAAACGGCCTCACCTGCAACTGCGGATCCGGTTCGAGTTGCAAACGCTGCGGTACTAGCACATGACTTCTTAGAAGTGCTCCATGATCTTCATGACCTTGAAAAAGAACACGTAGAACGAACACGTAAAACGAAATCTAGGAGAATCGACAGGATCCGGCAAATCTAATTAAACAAACACAAGGACCGTGATCCTAGTAATGAGTGAATTTTTCTCAATAACGATAGCTCGCAACAATTCTATTCAAAATGAGGGGTTAGGTCACTGAGTCGAGCATTTCTGAAGATGTTACAAAATACCTGATTGTATAGCGCTCTTTTTGAGAGCTCCCTGAAGTTGAGACATAGCTGCAGCCAGTGATGAGAACTTGTCTAACATGTCTGGCCTAAAAAAAATGCACTTAGGCATTGTGTAAAGGACAAATTGCAGCAAGCAAGAATTCATGAGCCCCATGCGACAAGTTTGGCATAAGCATTTGTCATAACAAATGTAAGGAAACACATTTGAACCCACTGCAATTTGAGGTTAACCACGATAATTAAGGCATTAGGTAGTATTAAGCAAATAAATAAGTAGGTAAGATAAGAACTATATTAAAGTTTCTGCTGAGTAATGCACCAGGTTTTTAGATAAAAAAGCCAACAACCCTGCCCTCTCATGTTACTAGCTCCCCACTTCCTCCGATACCTTCGTCATAACCAAGTCACAGACACTACACTCTACTACGATTAACTCCTATCCTTTCAATTGAAGGAAGAAATCTTAGCCATATGGGATGGTAGTCCCAATTAGAGAGAGATAAGCACTCGTACAAATGAAGTTAGATTTAACGTTTAGCGTAGCCCTCAAATAGTAGAGGTAGGACAAACAGAACACGGGAATACCTTTGTAAAAAAAAATCTAGCTGCCCACCTAGGTAACGGATAAGCTTATTTCTCTACCTACAATCACATCTGAACTGTCGTGAAAACTGCCTCTTAATTGTGTCATATTTGAGAAAAAAGGATAAAATTGTAATAATTGGAAACAATGTTTGGATTGATAGCTTCATTATATTGAACACCTTACCATGGAACCTTCTCCTGCATATCAAGCATGTACAATAGCTCTTCTATGGTCTTTTTAGCGTCCATGACTTTGATTTCCAGATAGGAGATTGCAGCAGTCATCTTAAAGTACAGTAATCATGTAAAAACTCAAAAAGCAGTATAGAAAGAAGCACAATAACGGTTACCTTTTCAGGGTCGCTCTGATAATTTGAGGCTTGGGGCATTGGGAATGCTGCCGGAACATTCATCTATAGAAGAATATCGAATAAGCTTATAAAATGAAACACATTAGCAGATAATAATACATATCACCGTCACCGGATGAAAAAAGTGCAAAGAAGTATATTTAAAATTTATTCCATGTAAGTAGAAAGATGATGCAGAGAACCAGTTTTATATCAGAAAGACAACCAGGAAATCGATACAATATTAGCTCTATTCAAGCTGAAGTGCGACTCCACACTGAAGAAAACCCGTCTATGGAAACCAAATGAAGATATGTGAAAAAGTAAAGAAAAAACGAAATGAGGAATGAATCTCTTGAGATAAAATGACGGGAAACAGTACCCGTGAAAACGAAATGGATATTTGGATAGGTACACAAGGGAAGGGGATCATTTCTTTAGCCGCAGTGTGTTTTGCAGTTTCTCCCGCTGTTTCATCCGCTTTTCTTCTTCTTGCCTGATGAATTCTTCTTGATCAAATGACAGAGGTATGAGATTCGAATACTGAGCAGTATTGATATTCAGAGCTTCAGCTGCAGCCTGCAACACATCTTCTTCATAAACAAATGCTCTTTTAGACTTTTAATGAATCGTATAGCGACAAAACGAACGCAGGAAAAAACAGCTAAGTATGAAACTAACAAGTCTAAAGAAATGTAAAGTTCCTCCAGTTTAACATTGTAAGAAGTCCTCAAAACCATAAGTAAATAAGCAACGATACCCATCACTGCTTTGGCCCAGAAAAATTAAACAAAGAAACCTACGAAAATGCAACGATTAACATGATCATGTTTGAGCTTAAAATAAAATCAAAACAGTAACGTCGAACAATAACATTATTGTGAGCAAGCCCTCGCAAAAAAGGGCTTTCGAGTTTCAAAGACGAACCTGCTTCAACGCTTCCTTCTCGATGAGATCTTGATTTTCACGTATGAGCTGGTCAACTATGGAATTCGAAGCAGGAGGACTTATTAGGGGCTCAGTGAAGTCACCTCTTTGGAGATCCGACCCTAAAAAGAAGTGACCTTGAATACATAACACACTTAATCTGAATGAATAGTTTTCATGGCCTTTGAATTCTACCATTACTGATGAGTTATGAGTTACAGGAACAACTAATATTAATAAAGAGTAGCAAAGACATGAGAAACTAAAAATGTAAGTCTTTTGTGATCGAAGATGCTCTAGGAAACCCGAAGCAGAAGGACGTGAGTACTACTTCGGTTTGATACAGTTGAAGCTCAAGAAAACAGTTCTTAAAAATATTCTGTACCATATCGGAAAACAAACTCCTGAAGCCAAAGGTTTTACCGAAAGCTGAGGAAAAGAATCAGATAGAAAATGTTTATGTTGAATAAAGGAGTTAGATTATTTACCTTGAGATGGCGGTCGTGTCGTGTCACCGGCTAACCATGCTTTATAGAAGTCTTCTGGTAAAGGGACAGGGACTTCTCTGTTTGGGTACAAATATTTTTCATAGCCACCAAACTGAGATTCCATAACTGCTGAAAATTATCAAAACTTATTTTCATTGTAGTTTTTGCTCGCCAATCACATACTTTTGATAAAGTATGTTTTTAAAGAGTGGTGTAAAGAATCAATATTAGCTTTGTTAGTTATGCAGCTTTAATGAGTTAAAGAACGATGTTCAAGAGATCATCTAATAATAAAGTTCAACTGAATATTAAATGAAATGATGAAGGGTCTTCAAAAGCAAACAGGGAAAAAAGATTCCAGTACATGGCATTAGAGTCGTACAAAGAAAAGATTAAAGGAACATGACAACACTTACTGTCATCACAAGAAAAGGGGAACAGAAAAAAGTGGTGGAGAGCACTCGTTCCCTTTCACCACTGATTTACAAATGTATGAAGGACTCTTGTGGCTGGTTATGGAATTATACTCTAAAAGCAAAGCAGGCAGAAGGAAGTTCAAGCACTGCTCTTCACAATGAGCAAGAGAAACGAAGAAACCAATCGAAAATTTTTTCCGGAGATTCACCGAAGAATCAAAAAAAGTGTTACGAAAAAGAAAAACAATATGAAAGACTGATTTATCAATGTTAAAAACATGAAATAGTGCCGCTTGTACTGAGCGGTAAAGAACAGTGTTCATTTCTAAAAGCTGGTTCGATTAAGAGGTCACAGATGAAAAACTTAAGCTACCTAGTGTCAATGAGTCGAATCTCACCAACTACTTTTTCATTTGAATTCACTTAGATCGAAATCAAAAACTGTTTCAGACGAGAAACGGTAGGCAATCAATGGACCTATGATGGAAATTCCCATATTCAAAATGTCCCAAACGGCTGCAATATAGGAAAAAATAAAGGGCAAGATTCGAAACCTTCCGGGCACGCTATGGGGCTCAGAAAACCAGACTTTTTGAGAACGTACACTGACATCCGTGTTATTCTCAAAGGACACAACAAATGTTGAGACGAACATGACCAGAGTATTTATTTGCCTTATATGACAAGGCATTAGCAATTCCATTAACCTCGTTCGCTCTTTCATGTGAGGCACGAACTGAAGAAGCTATTTGGAACAGCTGAGTTACAGAACCTGGGCTTTAATATTCGAATGATTAGAAAGTAGATGAATTTAGGGATTTGACACATCCTTTTCCTTTAAGAGGAATGCAATGCATGCAACTTTCCCAGTCTTTGCGCTCAAGTTAGCAATAATTTTTTAGCGCGGAGCTAGAGAATTTGAAATTGCCTTCCAATATGAATATACCGAAGACCATTGAACAATGCGATTATGGGTATATGGGACACCTTTTGAAAACTTCGAAATGGCGGAAAAAGTGTTCTGCCGGTCTACATTAAGCCCAGACAGGTTCGTTTAGAATAGAGTGAACGTACATATACGAGCACTCTAGCTACGGTGAAAAAAAAACCAGTGTCAGCAGTTAAACAAATGAGAGCAATTGGCTACATTGTGACTTTGACAAGAATATGATCACTAGCTGCCCAGGACAGTAAATCAGATCCGATGTTTTGCATGAGCTCGAAAACAAGGACAAAATTCAGAAAAGTTTTTCGAGGGAACACAAAAGTCCGCAAGGGCGAGACGCGCACTTGCAGACATCATGACGTGATCAAGTTCCGAAGGAAGGAAATGGAACGCGCAAGCCTGGCTCAGTGCGTCTGCGCGCGGTTGACGAAGGACTGCGCAGACGGGTACTGGGTTGGGCGGCAAACTTCCAGGAAAAGTGACGACAATTTACGGAGGCACTGGGCTCTGATCGTTTCTGAGTGAACAAACTCCGTTCCGATTTCCATTTTGTCCTTGGGAAAAACCTAGAAACTACCATGATCCTAGTACATCCAATGTACTCGGTTCGGTTCGTATTGGATCTCTGTCATCTTCCCCGTTTAATCCGAAGGCGATCTAGTCGCACCCCTCGGTAGGAGTGAAAAAACCGATACCGTTTCCTAGTCAAATTTTGAATATGTCCAAATAAAAAAGCAGTCAACTCAGGGATTGAAAGCAGCTTTTCGCAAATTTCCAAAAATTGCTCGCATAAATCAGGGGACAGTTCCAGTGTGGTAGTGGTCCACCCTCATTTTTTTACATGAGTGCCGCTGTCATCAATTCCTCCAAACAGGGGTATAGCTCATGGGTTCACATTATCCCACTGCCAGTCGGAACGCCCAGCTTACATCAGGCTAAAGTTGAAATGCATTGCTGACTTTTTCCCATTTCGGCTCGAAACAATGACTGCTCCAGTTAGTAGCCCATACATAGTGCAAAACAACTCTGATCAAAATCGGACTAACATTAAGGACAGACACAAACACACCGACANACACCGACACACACACTCCGACATACACCGACACACACACGACACCGACACATGCCATGTTGTTCCAAGGCTTTATCCCCGAGGCAAAAGTTGCCCATACCTCCGGATCTCTAAGTCGAAACGTCTTTGACCATACTTTATCTGATCATGAAAACGAAGCATGAAGTTATAGGACACTCAATCCAACAATAAGCTACGATGACGTTGGGATGGATACAATCAGAGATGCAGATAGAATTAACAAGGAGGATTAGTGTTGTTCCTGGCAACGAATTCATCATATAGGGCACAAGGCCATATAAGAAACCGTATCTTGTGATGTCCAACCTTGCTTGCTGTGTTTGGGGATACGGTGGAGCGATGCACAATCTAAAAGGAACAAAAAAGGAATACAAATAGAGGGCGGAAATTAGTATTGGTTATATTAACGGTTTTTAAATCTAATTCAATTGAAAATCGGAGCTCTAGGAGGTTAAGCTGAGCTGTTCAGAACCACCAAGTCAAAGTTGTGGAAAAAGTGGCCCTGACGATCTTAAAAGCACAAATTTTCATCGAAGAATTTAAGACGTTGTTCCAAGTCGAAGAATCATGGAATAAGAAATGTGGAAGATTCCTATACTTAGCCATGTACTCTATTTTAATAAGTCATGACAAATTCTTGCCGCCCCAAACCGGAAGTAATGTAAACAATACAGACCGAATAATCCCGTTCGTCCCTACCCTTCCCTCTAACGAACTCAAACCAAAGCTTCCTTGATTCTCAATGGTCTGGAACACTTAAGAAGGAATGAATATTCACTTCATCGTATGAAGGGTCGGGTGAATTAATATGCAGGTACAACTATTAGATGAGAACAAGAAAAAGGAAACATTTGAAAAATTATGCACTAATGGGTGTGCTCTTCAAAAAGGGTGGAGGCAAGTTGAGATGAAGTGAATCTTTAGGGTTCATTGCCATATGACAACATTTTGTGAGTATGAACTGACGTTCAGAGTTTGCGTGGCAACACAGCGATGGACGAATGGCACGAAAATAACTAACAAGAAATGATAGGCTGTAAAGCCCATGAGGCTCTTTAGGTGTTATAAATTCGGCGTCAACATGGCACGGAACTCTCCAACAAAACACGACGTTCCCGTCCCATTTTCATTCCCAAAATCAACCGACTTCTAAACTTCCAAAAGGGTCGGGAAGAAGCCAAGGACAACCAGCGAGGCCGCTTAAGAACGAATTCCGGAAACTTTTGTGTAGGTGATCGTATAGACCCAACTGAACTAGGCACATCAGTCGCTGCCTCCTACTGCTCTCGAGCTATGTCCCGCCAGCTAGATTTGGGAAGAGGAAAATGCCTTAAAAAGCGAAAGGAACACCCAGAAAAAGGGCATTTTCTCTTGCAGACATCACTCTTTATATATGTAAGTGAAGCTTCCAGGCTGAAATTTTGGTGTAACATTTGTTATAATGGTGGCATATGACCCCCAATTAAAATTTTACCGTTAAGAACATTGTGTTACAAATTGCTCAAAACTAAAGAACAAATTATTCTATCAAATGTTAGCTACACAATAGTAAAAACAGATGCGAAGAGAAAGGCCAGAGAAATCCGAACGGTAAACGTTATTCGGGTTCCCATCCAGGAATAGATCCAACACTCAAGCAAAATGAAGCGAACGAATTGATGATTCAACTGTACCACTAATCAATACGTTCGCGTCGTTGAAAATGCACTCCCTCAACATTCCTTTGTATAAAAAAAGTGAAATGTTAGCGATTTCTAGGAGCTTCCCAATGAAACGCTTAGAACGGCTTCAATTGGAATTTATTCTCGTTTTGAGAGGGAATATATGGTATGCATGTCTGTTGGAATCCGATTTGGGAAGGGCGAGTGGGTACGTGTACATGTGAAGGTCTATCAACACCTCTATCGATAGTAATAACCATGACAGAACGGAGATCATATCGTAGATTGTAGCACTTGGTAATATGGAACAGCATCTGATATGTAGAAAGAATAGTTTTTTGATGTCGGCCGACCTCATTTTACATCCAACTCGATTCTGAATCGTAGTGGGATTTGAATCCATATGTGACCTACGGAATGACTTGTGGTGAGCAGCCAAATTCAAGTCAGTTTTTATCCGTCCATCATCAGACGACGGTCAACCCCGCAGGGATGGAAGGCTTGGTTGGTTTAGGCAGATATCGAACAGTACACACAGTCTAGCTAGAGTTTTGATGACAACTGGTGGAATGCTCCTTAGATGTTCTAGGCTAATCCTGTCACGGATCGGGCGCCGTAAAATCCTCGCTGAAGTGACAAATTGCGGAAGCGAGCTCAAGGAACGGCATATCTTCCTGCTTGAATTGGTAGAAAGGCAGGTAGACATGGCTGTAGAAGAAATTCGAGTAAGAGTCATAGATGACTTCCTCCTGTGACTTATCGTAGATGAGATGCGGTGATTATTATGGTATTTAGGACGACAGGGGAAGTCGTCTTGGTCCTGTAGTTAGCGAAGCTCCTTCGAGCTTCGCAAAGAACCACCGACTTTCTCTCTTTCAAATCTTCCTTTATCGCCTCTCTACACAGCTTCGCGAATCGGACATTTGTTGATGATCGCCTGTACCTCACGCGATTCCACGCTGGCATATCAGCTCAAGAGTCTTCGGAGGGAGACGTCTCTTGACAGTTTGGAGACTCTCTGCTTTTCTGGCATTATTGTGAAGAATGTTCGACGAGCCGGCTTACATTCCTCATTAATTTTTCTCATAGGAAAAATTTCCCATGAACTCGCGGAAGTGATCCCGAGTGATGACAGTCTTGGGGCTTCGTTTCTCGAACCTCGCAGTTATGTCTTCCTGCACTGAAAAACAGACGCAAGTGCAGAAGAGACGAGAATTGTGGTTTGGCCAAATTTTTTCAACCGTAGACTTGTGTCTAGCTTAGTGATAGAGATTAGACGTTCTCATTGAGTTAGAGAGAAACATCTGCTAGATAGAATTCTGAGATTTTNTCAATCTCCCAGGATAATCTCCTGATTGCAAATGGATGCTAACAGTGAGAATGCTTCCTTCAAAATGTAAAACTGGCTTACGTTATGCACAACAAACACATGCAAAGAAGTAGACGGGTTCAATTCATTACGAATTTGTATGGCTCTTTTCTTTTCGTTTCTCATTGAATGCATTTACATAACACTACATTATGTTTGTTGCACTAGTTGCGAAATGAATGCAATAAACCGATTAGACTTACCATCACGGTTCAGGAATTTGGGACGACCACGATTCGTCGCATCTGGCCACGACTTGGAACCATCAAAAGATTCCAATAGAAATCTCTACTGCTGACAAGAAAGGAAATACAGAGATAGAGTGACTCTGAATAATAACTGCCACGTACAAAGAAATATTTATCAAAAACAGGACAAATAAAATAATGAGATCATTCCAAACAAAACAAGATCAATCGATCACGCAGCATAAACTATAAGTTAGAGTTGCCTTTTTTCTAAACTACATACATAGATCTGCTCTCATTGATGGAGACTGTTTTTGCAGGTGGCGACTCAGACGACGGCTGATTACTTTCTCCTGTGCTCGGGAGGTTTTGGCTGGTATTTTCGCGAACCTTGGGAGGATTTCGTAGTGCGATAGAACAGTACAGTTGGTCTCTAGGCACTGTGTTCACTTTAGCCTTCTGAAAATAACAATTAGTACGATTTTTTCGAAATTTGCGTTTACTCAATTGTATCCTTTTACCAGCCATGCACACTGTATAGCTGCTGGTCTCTGATCGGGATTCCGAAAGATCAAGGCTATTGTCGATGGACATAGAACTTTCAGAGTGGAGAGGTAGTATAGAGACGTTGATGGGTGGTAACCAAAATTCTTAGAAACTGGTAAAGGCCGATGATGGCCATTACTAGGCAAAAACCTTTTTGCCTTTTTATTCTAAGTATTTGCATTACTCACGTTACTCATAGATGGATGTGACAAAAATAGATATTAGTCACTAAAGGCAGGAGAGCATTGAAGAAACTAAAGAGTCACTTGCACTTTCGAATAGTGGACTTTTTTGATAAAAAAAAAACTGTTATGTTGTGTTGTAGAAGAGTGAAATCTAAGAACAGAAATTAAGAATCAAACCGAAATTGGCAGGAGTACTAGGGCATGACGAACCAGGGCATCGAAGGGAAACGAGGAGCACAGTTACTCTCCTATGAAGTTCCGCAACTATTATATATGCGGTCGAATAACTTATAAAAATGCAGGTAGACAATTCGCTAGAAAGGGAGAAACCCAAATTTATCATTGCAACCCCATCCCTCATTAGCCATCGTATAGAAGAACATAATTTCAGTAGCTGAGATGATGCCGAATCCGAGGGGTTTATCGGAGTTCAAATTGCCAAGCTTTGTTCTGCATTCGACCTAGTACGGGAACTTTGGTGATTTCCAAACAGACTGACTCTCTGGAGGAATTTTTGGCTGTGCAACAACTCTAACGACCTAAGTTCCTACCACTATTAGTATTTTTCTATGGAAAATAGAATGCTGTTTTCATGAAAAATTTTGTTTTGTAATCGAGGCGGAAGCTTTGAGGTCACGATAAATATCACAACGAAAAAAATCTGAAAGTCGATTATGATAACTGTCTTACCATTTTCTTATTAGTTAGTAAGGAGCGCAGCATCGCTTTGGATATTGGGCATGTTACCACAGCTAATACTGATATGAGACAACTTTTAATTGAGTAAATGATAGTCTGGAAAAAAATGTTGTCCATTAATTTACACAGGCAACAAAAAGAAAATGACAATCACCAGGTTACTGTAAGTGAATAGATATTTTGTGCTCTGATGGTGAGAGATTGACAGAATGATGACACAAACTGTCGCCAAAGCACCGACAAGCAAAATGCTCACAACTGACTTGGTTGAGCCGGCAATTACGTGCTCATCATGTTCTTCTGCAATGAAAACGTTATGAACAAATTAAAACAAGAGATTATTCTTACACATGGGAATTGTGTGGCTATAAGTTGCAGTCTCATTTCTGAATACGGTAAGATTAGAGCGTTTGAGAGTGATGATATGTTTTAAAAGGTCCGCTAAGTGGGTGGACGAAAATGTTTTAACTCTTTTGTACACCATTTAGCGGATCTCTTGAAAAGCTTTTTTTGTGTCGGCGTTAGTTCGAGGCTGTTTGATATTCATTTAGTAAACAAAAGATTGGTGGTGTAATACATCAATAAAAAGCAAAAAGATGATTATGAAAATAAAAATCGCATTTAAAATTGTATTGAGATTGTTATTGAATGCAGGAGTATTGTTTGAAAGGAATTCAAATGAGAGGGCGATGAACGAAGGAAAATGTGAGCAAAAGCGAGCAATAGGAGACAACCCGAACTACCTACAAGCGATTAACAGCTCAACAGCGCTAATCAACTTTGAGCTACACACTGTAGGCTGCTTCATAGGAGACAATTCCCTAGCGATGTCTTTTTGAAGAGTTCAACTTTTCAGGGAACGTCGTACCTTTGTGTTTGCACATGAGTGCTGCGACGAGTAGCACGACGATGACGATGAGCAGGATCATCTGTACGGCGACAACTGCCAGGGCGCCACTATTCGACGAGACGAACGACCCATGGCATGGCAGAACATTTGTTTCGCTATTGTAGGTGAGCACCAGCTCAAGCGAAGAACAAAACAGGGCACCGATCATTGCGATCATTACAACAGTCAGCGATTTAAATCTAAAAATAGACTCGATACAAGCCTGTACAGAGTCAAATAAAATGATCAGGCAAAATTCAAAGGAAAAAGAACGTCTGCTCTTTACTCTCAAGAAAATATCTCAGAAATTACCTTACTTACATTTACCTCAGAAACCGCAGTGGGCCTTTGAGAACATATTTGGAGCACCCCATGAAATGCGAGCCTATCCAGTGCATACACATAAATATATACCTTTTTACTATTCTACTGAGTACTGGCAAGGCTAGTACTGGTAAACCCGATAGAACCGAATTTTAGTTTGACTCAGAACTATACCCAAATGACCAGCTCACAACTACAGATGGTTAAACTGCTAAATCCTGAAGAAAGAGGACATGGTATATATAAAAAAAGGTTCTGCAAAGAAAATATGTAGAAGAAAGCATTACAGATTTAGCTTACCTCAGGAAAAACGCCATTCCATAACCAACGAGGCTGGCATCGCTAACATTCTGGAAGAGCACAAATGCGACGGTTGTGGGTATGGAATTGCAGCGAAGAATGTCTCTCGAGATGAAGTCACCAAAACTCAGGAACAGCGATACGGTGGCGAAACACAAAGACGAAATCAATAGCAAATAGAAATGAAAGTTCTCTGAAAAGCTTTTCAATCACGGAATTCATGTAGGCAATAGATAAAGTATGAAAAAAGATTCAGCTCTATCAATTTATGTTTTATGTTTTGACACACGGGTTTTAATCTTTACCAACCTCGGGTCATTCATAGGCGAGCCTGGCATTTAGATTGCTCAAAGGAGCCTGTGGATGATCACGCCGATTCATATCAACTGACCGATCTGACTAAGCAAGGTCCTATGTATGAATTTGACCTCTAAGCGCTGCAAGTTGGAACACTTCTGAATTACAATGGCAGAGGCACGACTGATGTGAAACTAAATGATGAACGCCGTCATGCCCCTCAATGGGTGTACACCAATGTCTGTTAACTCCATGGAAATTTGGTTGGCAAACTGGCTCCCGCATGTGCTCTAATTGTAGTACCGGCAACATGCTCTGGTGCTTACATAGCTTTTAAAGAGGAACGAATTTTTGGCATATATCCTCATGGCCGATGAATGCCGGCTACCTGATCCATTTTGCTTGTGGTTTTTATGAAAAAACCCACTTTGTTCACGCGGTAATCGTTCGTAAAGGAGGAGTAGCTGCAGCTTGAGGACCATCGACAGTACGCAGAGCACTTGTGCAAAGATATCCGTCCCCGAAAGTGACGCCATCTCAAAAAAATTAAAATTTTTCAACGATATCGTGTACTTACAAAAGAGATAGATGGCAAGCGGATGGCATCGTGAGATCGCCGTTCTAACATTCAACAACAACGGTAGTGAAGGATAAGAGCGATTCAATCCAAGTCGACATTTTGAACGCTTGTAAATACCCCTTGATCGTCGGACCCTTCTTGTACCTGGACTGTCAAATGATTCGATAATCGAAGACGCACAGTAGTGCGAAAATGTGAGTAGTTAGCCACTAAAAATTCTTAAAAATTTCTTCAACTTTATTTCTTCCAAGTTTGATCTATTGCACGATAAAACTATGGATAGGGGTACAGACGGCTTTGCTTTGCCATCAGTTCGACTGTGAAGCTCAGGACAGCTTTATGAATCAAGTCACTCCAATATTCAAAATGATGATAATTTGTGAGACCTATAAAATAATTCTACAGTGTCACAGCACTTTAATCTGCTAAGCCAACGACTGTCAGAAAAATGGCCAGTGAAGGAAAGCCCCGGTTTTTCGCAAAGACGTAAAGACCAAGTGACTAAGGCCAAAAAAAAAAAAAGGCTCAGGTGACAAATGAGGCCTACGATAACGCCTGATCTGACATTATCGTTATTCAGGGGGCTCATTATACTCATGAAGTGCATGTGAATAGAAGCGTGCTTTAACATGACTACAATAGAGCCAGACAATCTTAGGAATGTATTCGCTGGTATTGGAAAAACGCCGGAAAGTTCCATTTTCGTTTATATTATCGTTCTCTATTCATGCGCGAGATAAATTTGGGAAAGCAGTTTTTAATGTTCAAGAAGAGCTGTTGCATTGTCACGCTCGAGAAACACAAAACTGTCACCCGTTGGCTTGATATTCTCTACGGCTTGTCCTTTTCGCTGAGAAGACAGAAAGGACCCTCACACAGCTAAGTTGATGACTCTGTTAGAAATGGATGAGACGGTTTTATGTTTCACAGAAACATACGGGCTGGAGTATTCGAAAAAAANAAAAAAACGGCGAGGCGAGTGTTCGCCCACCTACTCCACGATAATATTAGGCCCCACATTGCTAAATAGACCAGTGAAAATTTTGGGAAGCTGGAATGAGACACAGCTCCTCATCCACCCTTTTCCCCGAGTTGCTCATATGTTTATCACTTAGTTCTTAGTTCGCTCCTTGAAGGCATTCCCGACTGAGGGAAAATTCACTGATTATTGATTAGAAAGATTAGATTGATTAGAAAGGGGTTCACTGATTAGAATGACCAATAAGCTTGTCGTGCAAATTTTTCGTTTGCCGAATGGTACTATAACAAGAGATAACATATGATAAAACGCTAACAACCAACCTGTTGTCAACCCTATGACTCCTTTTCCGTCAAAAGTTGCATTGTTAAGTGATCCCGGTAAGTGCCAAAGTATAGAGTGGGTGTGAATGATAAGATTACCAAAAACCCCTCAATTTCCTACTATATGCCTTTGAAATATTACAGATGTAAATACAAAATGAAAGATAGTAAAAGTCTTGTTGTGGCTCAGTGGTCGAGGCCCTATCCAGATAAATCTAGCCGGTCTCCCTGTGTACAACAATTCCATAGGAACTGCACACGTAGGAATGTAACAGGCATGGTCTCTCGAGAGATTTTGTAACCATTTCGAACCACTGTAGACTATTCGCGCCACCAAAAACGTCTTCAATCTAATTGAAAATGAAACGACGGGAGCATATTCGACGAAAACGCCAACGACTGCCAGCCACTCATTCCCACGGAGGGAAAGTTCCCAGTCGCTCCGAACTGCTCATTTCATTGAACACGTTTTTGCCACTGCGTGGGAACATTTTTAACGAAAAAAGTTTACAAATTCGAGGAAAACAGATTAATATGTCTGCTCTGCTGCAAATATGGCAAGTAAATCTGAAGCTCTACATTACAAAAAAAGTTCAGAAAAAAGAAACAAAAAGACAAAAAGAATACAAAAAATCATGCATTTCTAGAATTCTCAAAAGTATGAGGGAGTTGAATGGTGTGGAAAGGGAGTGGGGTGACGAAGCTCTTCCAAAATCAAGCGTGTTTATTCGAATCTTTAAGCTTTGAGAAAACTTCAAGAAAACACTTTTTGTTATGGCGATAATAGTTATTATAGAGTAGAAAACAGAACGGAGTCATGGCTACGCCAATTATGTGAAATAAAGCATACTATTATAAAAAAATTGTTGAGAAGTTCTCTCATGGAGCAAACATCGTAGCACATTTGATAAATAGGAGGACGCAGTGAGTAATCGAGATCACGCTCAGTGAAAAACCTCGCCAGTAGCTGGGGAAAGTATCTGCTCTGAGAGTTTCACATCTGTGGACATACTAGTCCTACTGTACAAAGTTGTAGAACAACTGATGCCTATAATGCGTGAGAGAGTCCACCCATCTGAGACACCTCCACTTAACGTTGGTTGCTACCGTTAGTGCTAGCCTAGATGAACCAGATGTTAACAGAGCGTTAGAATTCATATCAACAAACTCTCCTTCATGGAAAATATTCCCTTACAAATACGACTTACACGGAATCAGCTTTAAATAATAAGGGCGGTATGACGTATAAACACCTAGTTTGTAGTAACACCTCACATACACAGAAAACTATCATTAGCTGTGAAGTATGAACGTATTTGTACAGGCCTCAGAAAATTCTTTTGCCTTTCCTTCCTAAGTGAGCGACTCGTTGTCAACAGGCACAGCTTCAAATTACGAAGTCAGTTGCTCGTCTCACCGTCATTCACGCAAAAATTGCGACTTCGCATTTTCTTTCTTTGGTATGAGTCGGCTCAGAATAAAACTTTTTAAAGTTGGACATGCAGTTGACCTGAGTTCCTCATGTACAGTAGGGTTTTCCTTCGGAAATCTAGCTATCTTAGTTCTATTTGAATTTTTTTTGAGCTGTACAAGATCACTTATGGATCCTATCGTTACCTCATATAGATGGATTTTTTTTCAGCTATTTGAGGTAATGATACGATCCATAAGTGAGCTTGTACGATAATAAGTGCTCTGCAGAAATTTTGCGGCCGGTTCAGTTTCAGCTAACCGCTTCCCTTGTTGCGTGGTTTCCAATATGAGTACGTGGACTGTATTGGTAGGTTGAGCACCTTCCTTTTCCTTTGCACATGAACTTACACTGCTGCAATGTAATCTGTCGATTTCCCAGTATGAATGTCCTTCGTTGGTACTTACATTACCACTGATGGGAATAATGGGAACTTCCCATTATTCCCATTTCCAGCTTTATGTTCTTTGATACCAAAAGAAGCCCTGGACTGCAGTGTGCAATCCACGTGATCCGGGTATGAAGGAAGGAGTGCAGCGACGATATGTGCTTGGGAAATGGACCACCGCAATGGTGGCTACCGGCGGTGAAAATCGTGAGAGGACCATTGCAAGTAGGTCTGGCACTTCACCATGCCACCTGTGCCTTTACGCCTTATGCCTCTGCTTGTCCATCAGAAGGACTGCATTGAAGTAGGACTCACCGAGGTTTCTGACGGAACATATTGTCAAGCAGTATTTTATTTCAATTGCTACCGTATGCAGGAAGGCCAGCTCATTTCCGATCCCGAAAGACAATGTAGGGTCAGAAGAGGAAGTTTCGCGCCAAAGCCAATACTCTGTTCAGAACATAGAGAGTGCAATCTCTCACGAAAAAGTTGTCATAAGAACAGCAGAAAGATGTTTATGGAGGGAGTCACGTCAATGGTGAGACGCCTTTGGTTTCGTCGGTACCGGGATGAAAATTGAGAAAGACGTATCTTTGAAGAGCATGCCTATGGACGTAGTGAAGCATTGATTCGAGCTCACTTCCTGAATCAGCCTGTTGTGTTTCCAGCAGAATGGTACTCCTTTAGTCCACCGAACCAAACTATTCAAGAGTGGTCTCGACGACAGCTGCCCTACTTCATAAGTACCGAGAAATGCCACCCTGCTTTCCAGATCTCACTCAACCCACATGGCTCCTCCGTATAGCCCCTGATCAGAAGACAAGCTGTCAAGTTTGTCATTCCAGTCAGTATTCCTCAGAAGCAAGACTCAAGAACGGCTGGAAAGAGGCGTGCAACATGCGAAAGATCGACAACGAACCATGGTACTCTGCTAAGGCTTTAGAGGACATTTTAAATGTGATGTTACCTTGTTGCTGCACATAATGTAAGCAAACGTATTCCAGCTTCCACTGTCATTCTCAGCTTAGAAGCTCCATGTACATTGCAATGAATAGGGGTCCATGGTACATCCTGTCCGGCGAC